GTACGAGCGCGTACTAGTACGAGCGCGTACTAGTACGAGCGCGTACGAGCGCGTACTAGTACGAGCGCGTACTAGTACGAGCGCGTACGAGCGCGTACTAGTACGAGCGCGTACTAGTACGAGCGCGTACGTGCTCATACTAGTATGCGCTCGTACTAGTATGCGCTCGTACTAGTACGTGCTGGTGCGCACTCGTATGCGCTCGTACTAGTACGCGCTCGTACTAGTACGTGCTCGTGCGCACTCGTATGCGCTCGTACTAGTACGCGCTCGTACTAGTACGTGCTCGTGCGCACTCGTATGCGCTCGTACTAGTACGCGCTCGTACTAGTACGTGCTCGTACTAGTACGCGCTCGTACGTGCACGTACTAGTACGCGCTCGTACCTGCTCGTACTAGTACGCGCTCGTACCTGCTCGTACTAGTACGCGCTCGTCGAGTGCGTACGAGCGCGTATTAGTACGTGCGAGTACGTACGGGCCCGTACGAGCGCATACGAGGTCGTACTAGTACGAGCGCGTGCGAGCGCGTACTAGTACGAGCGCTCGTGTACTAGTACGCACTCGTACGCGCTCGTACGCACTCATACTTGTAGTACGCACTCGTACGTGCTCGTACTAGTACACGCTTGTACTAGTACGCGCTCGTACCTGCTCGTACTACAAGTACGAGTGCGTAAGAGCGCGTACTAGTGCGTAAGAGCGCGTACGAGTGCGTACGAGCGCGTACGAGTGCGTACGAGCGCGTACGAGTGCGTACGAGTGCGTACAAGTACGAGTGCGTATGAGCGCGTACGAGGGCTTACGAGCGTGTACGAGGGCATAATAGTAGGAGTACGTACGAGGGCATAATAGTAGGAGTACGTACGAGGGCTTACGAGCGTGTACGAGGGCATAATAGTAGGAGTACGTACGAGGGCATAATAGTAGGAGTACGTACGAGCGCATGCACGTACACATGCACAGACATGCGCGGACGGATACACTTTATATAGACCCTATATCTATAGTATATATATAGATGTTTAGACAGATCTACATACATCGGGAACTAATAATAATGATATTGAACATTTTCATTGCTTAAAAAAACATTTTTGGGACCCTGATAACATAATACATTACAATACAACTGACAAACAAACTTCTGAAAATGTTGAACAAAATTAATACAGATGATGTAGGCATACACATTTGGACAAAATATTCACAACGATCAAAACTTCAACAACAAACTAATACAGTATACCACGGATAGCTCGAATTCGTTGGGACCGGCCTCGGTAGTTCAAGGGTTCTGTAGTTCTTACAAAGATAAAGAAGGGGGGGGGGGGAACCGGGTCCGCAGGCACATTTCGACGAATGCGTGATTTCGAGTCTTCTGTGTTCGACCTATCCGTGTTATACTGTATTTTAATAATATAAAAGACATCTTACAATACTAAATTTAAAAGTTACAACTACTGTCTTTATTAAAGAAAGCTCTTTTTTTCTCCCTTTTTTTAAAATAGGAAAGACGTGCCATCATGAGAGCTCAAAAGAAGAAGAGGGAGCGTTATCAGAAATGACAGACGGAGGCCAAGACGACGGACAAAGGCACCACAGCCACGACGGATGAGAAGAGCTGGGGGGGGGGGGGGGGGGCATTGTTCGGGCATTGTTTTTTTCTATTAAATTCTCAAGATCCAAGTTTTTCTTTAGTGGAATTCAGACTTCTTTTGAAAGAAAAACAACCAAGTACTACTTAAACAGAGGGACCTGAATATGAGAATAATATAATAATAAATAGCATTAGTCGTTATAATAATAATAAATAATAAATAGCATTTGTATAGCGCATATCCCCGCTCAACAGCAGGCTCTATGCGCTTTACACTATATTATTACCCCAGCAGACCATAGGACACTCCGAAACATTCTCAGCTTCCCGGGAAGCATACAGTGCAAGCAGCTGATGAAGCGCTCAAACACTAACAAACTTACAAGATCTTTCGCTGTCTATAGCCGGGTACCCATTCCCACCTGTGTGAAGTGAGGAAAATTCGTGTAAAGTGCCGTTCCCAAGGACACAACGTCAGGCCCTTGACGGGATTCGAACCCACGACCTTACGGTTGCGAGTCCGAGAGCCTAACCACTACGCCACGGACGCCACCATAAAAGACTTCAGTTCCTACTACACTGGGGGTACTGCAAGCTCATTTGGGGTTCCCCATTTTTTGGGAAAGAAATGCCATTACTTTTTCTGTCCCCATGGTTTTTTGCACCCCGCATAATTTAGCAAAATTTGGTCATTTTTCGCATTATTTCTGATTATTTTCCTTTATCATTATTATTTTATCAAATTAACAGAATCGCATAATTTCACATCTTTGGGCTCAGTTTTCATAATTTCAGACTTTTTCTTGTATAAAACGACGGGGACAGATTTTGCTGGCAAGAAAAGGTCACTAAATCAAAAAAAGATCCTGACGAAACCAACGGTAGGTCTAGTTCTTTTCAAAGAATTAAAAAGAACACAACAAAATGGTAAAAATTTCCTTTGCCACTTTTAAGCGCAGAAGTCCCCAAAAGTCTTACAGCAAGAAGTTTCTCCCAATACAATACCTGTGAGAAAGGTGCACAATTTAATGTCATGCTTCTTATGGGGGTGGTAAGACCCTGCATAAAAAGAGAATGGGCATTACTTCCCTAACAGAATCAATACAAATTAAAGGGAACGTAGAAGGCCACACTCAAGTTAGTTTAGTTTTAGTAGAGGTTTTACGGCGCTCGCAACTGCATAAGGTCATATGAGCGCCAGAAGATTACAGGTTATACAAGTGAGTAACAAACATAAAAAAGGAGAAGGGGGGATAGATGTTTGATAGGGAAGAAGGTGCAAACCACACCAGAGCACCCGCCAACCACCCACACACTCAAGTTAGAAAGTGGTCAGAGTGGGAAAAGAGTGAAAAAGCCTCAAACAAAAGACCTAGTGTCCCGTGAAAGCCTTCTCAGTGAGACTAGATCTAGATCAACATTCTTTAAATTAATTAAAAGGAGAAGAGTCTGCATAGATTGCTTAACATTTGAAAGTTGCTGGAATGGGAGCGAAAACAATATATATATATCATGCCTCAGGTACATGCAATGTGCATCTAAACTCAGTCCGACGGTGTGTTTCTTGGGAAAGGCACTTTGCTCAAAATTCCCACTTGGCTTGGTCCATTCTGAGATGGAAGTCAAAACTAAAATAAAACTTGGGATGTCCCAATCTATACGATTTCACTATTTTTCCCTATTTATAAGCTCATGGCCATGCCATAGGTCATGTAACCTGTGCTTGTGGTCAAATTTATGAAATTCTCTAGTGATCGATATAGTTTTATGACTGCTCGCTACATTAGAATTATAAAGTTCTGTCAGACATTTTTGGCCGTTTTGAGTTACTAAGACTTTGAGTTCAGAAACCATTTATGTGCTATCTGGTCTACGAAAACCGTAAGATTATTAAAAATATTCAAATTCAAAGAGTTGCATTAAGAAAATAATCTTGACGTTTCGGGAAACTCAAAAATGATTATTTTTTTAAAACCCAGCATGTGCGTTTGACGCGGCCGCGATTTTTACATTTTTCAAAAACAAAAAAAAACAAAGCTACGTCATAACTTATCAAACATGTATATTGATAATTGTAAGGGGTCCATGTGTTGTTATTTTCATGCGAAGAATATTAGTACATTAAATTACCTACTTTTTATTTCGCTGTTTGTCTTTAATTTTTCCCTCTTTGTTGTGTTTTAATATATTGGTGTGCTACTTTTTTTTAATTGTTCTGATTTGTTGTTTTTCTTTTTTTCTTTTTTTTGTTTTGTTTATACAACGCAATGTAATTTAATTTGATGTTGCTCCTACCTTTTTAAAAATATAGATCTAAATGAGTTATGTTAGAGCACGTCTCCACTAGTGGTGGGCAAAATCCGGATATAAACCGGATCATTCTCAATGAAATATCATCCGAATTCAGACTCTTAAACTCTCTTTCCTGACCCGGTTCCCGAAGTGGGTGCACCCATTTGTTGAAGTGATTCCAACCCGTTTTTCGAAGTGGTTCAAATCCACTTACCGAAGCGGCTCAAAACACATTTATTTAATCGCGAAGAGGTGCACTAACATATCCGAATTTTGCTAAAGCGACTCATTGCCCAGCCCTAGGCTCCACCAAAACTGAACCCTGACACTGGTACATCCCTTGTGTGTGATTCCATAATTGACATGTAAATTGTAAGAACTATCCTGTACTTTTTCTTGAATTACACACGTTTATGTAAAGAGTAAAAAATAGACCAGTTGCAGCCACTATTTATTACAGATGAGGAGGTGGAGGTGATAAGTTCGTACAAATATCTTGGAATAACAATTGATAACAAGCTTGACTGGCATCCCCACGCTACTTTTCTGCATAAAAAAAGTAAATCAAAGAAAGTTCCTTGAAAAGTTTTCGTGTCGATAATAAGATTATGTCCCTTTTTTAAAATACCATTCTATGATTGAAAGCAGGCATATTATTTCGTATTTGCTGCTGGGCTGGGAATTGTAGGGTGAAAGATAAAGAAAAATTCGACAGAACCATAAGAAAGCCAGCAAGATCTCTGGATATGATTTTACTAGAATTGATGAAATAAATAACACCACGAGTATAAAAAAGATAAACAGCATTATAAACGACGTATCATACCACCTTTCCGCGCAAATTGTAAGATCACGCAACGGCAGTTATGTACCTCTAAAAGCAAAGTTAAAAAGATATATAAATGTAAAAGAAGTTTTTTAACATCTAGCATAAGGCTATTGTCAGAATAAGCATCAATGTGTATTGCTCTTTCGAGTATGTATCTATAAAATAACTCTAAAGGTCTTGTAATTAAATTCCTGCATGTGGTTCAATGATGCGTCTGATGTGATATGTAGGCCTACATTTTGTCAGTTTTACTTTTCTTTTCATATTGAATTTGAATTAGGGTAATATATGATTAAAAAAATTTATGTATTATATACCTGCATGAGTTTTACTAGTTTTAGGGTCCTCCTGTGCAGCCAAGAAAAATTTCCCTCTGGGATAGTAAAGTATTATCTCATCTTATCTTATGGGTTAAAACAGCAGATCTGCGGATAGGTGGACACACGCCCTTATTTATTTGTTAATTTTTGGGTTGATTTCGCTCTGCTGTGAGACCTTTATTTTTCACGACTTTACACTCTGTGCGGCTACAAATGATATTCTGGGTGCTTAAAACAAAGCACAAGAAATTCTGGTGCTTTCTTTATAGATTAAGTTACCTCTGTCAACATATTATTGCTATACATATATATATGTGTGTGCGTGTGGGTGGTTGGCGGGTGCTCTGGTGTGGTCTGCTTCTTCTTTCCTATCAAACATCTATCGTCCTTATCTCCTCTTCTTCTTGTTTATATTTGTTACTCTCTTGTAACACCTCTAATCTTCTGGCGCTCATATGACCTTATGTAGTTGCGAGCGCCGTAAAACTCTTACTAAACTATATATATATATATATATATATATATATATATAGAGAGAGAGAGAGAGAGAGAGAGAGAGAGAGAGAGAGAGAGAGAGAGAGAGAGAGAGAGAGAGAGAGAGAGAGAGAGAGAGAGAGAGAGAGAGAGCATGCTCTATGTGCTTTACAACTATAATGGTATCATGGTTTTGTATTCAATGTTTTGGCTATGATTTGTCGGCCCTATAAGCCAAGGGAAACACCTGCTTATTTATCGAGAAAGTTCTTTTATAAAGAAGTCATTGCATTTGGCTTGGCTCAGATGATTAACATGGCGTACTGGTGTCCTGTGTATGTTTTCATATAAACCCTATCCGTACGCCCTGGGGTCATTTTGTACCCGGGGTTGTATTCTTCACATTTTAGAATACTTCTAGAACGAGGATCTCTTTGAAACTTTCAGTATTTCTCTAAAAATCATTTTGACAGACTGATATAAACGTACGGATGGGAATAACGAGTAAATTTCCTCTTTAGAAAGTGGGGGCACAGAGTTCCCCACGTCGTATGGATACGATAGTAAAACACGACGTATGGATAGGGTTAAGGTATCTGTGGTCTATCCTGTTTTGTATCGACCATCCCCACCTTTACAACAACTATTATCAACAATAAAATTCTCAGAAATTGGAAACATTTGAGTGGCTTTTTGTTGTTGTCATCAGTCGCAAATGACTCTGAGTGTGAGTGAATGTTGAAGGATGCATATTATTATATAACCATACTTTTTACAATCATAGCTGTCCCCCCGGTTTTATGCACACACAAAAAAATTTTTGAAATTATGCAAACTGAGCCCAAAAATGTGAAATTATGCAATTCTGTTCATTTTAACAAAGAATGATAAAGAAAAATACTCAGAAATAAAGCAAAAAATGATCAAATTTTGCTAAATTATGCGGGGTGCATAAAACCCCGGGGACAGTCATAGGGATTTAAAGAAATGCCACATCACATTTTTAAGTCTCTTTGAAAGTTATAATATAAATATGCCCCATCTCTTGGGCTGGGTTGTTTTTGTTTTTTTTTTACCCATGAAATGCGTTTGGTGAAGCGTAATGATGGATTATAAGTTGAAGACTCCTAAAGCAACATTATTGGTCAAGTCGGAAAATGGTTTGGCACAGGTTCAATGCCCCTATCAACACTATTAGGTTATTTAAGAGGCGGGACCTCGCAGTTTAACGTCCATCTCACCACCTAAGCGCTTTCTTGTCGTATCTCCATTTTTAATAACAATCAAAACAGTTCATAGCAAAGGGTGAGCTTAAGAAGAAGTCACATTTTCACTGTTTAAAAAAATGGACATACGACAAAAAAGCACCGAGGTCGCCATCTCCAAAAGGAGAAAGCCAGTTTGGAAATTAGTGTACAGCGCCTTTTCCAAGGACACAATGCAGGCGGACCGAGCTGAGGCTCGAACCACTGAGCCCGCAATTTCACGACTACAGGTCTGGTAGCCTAACCACTAGGCTACTGACGCCGCCAAAAGAAATGAGAGTTCTTCAGGACTGAAGTTCAACCAAAAGAAATGAGAGTTTTTAAAATTAACTTTGGGACTGAAGTTCAACAACAACAAAAAGAGAGTGCTTTAACTTTGGGAATGAAGTTCAACAAAAAGAAATGAGAGTTCTTCAGGACCGAGCTGAAGTACCCACGACATGTACTCACTGAAACAGGAGATAAAGCAAGATCCGTCAAAGGTGACAACCATAACTAAAAACAAATAAACAAAAAACAAAACAACAACAAACAAGCCAGCACCAAAGAATACAAGATTGGATGCGATTTCCAGGCATGGTAACATTTTTGACAAAATACATTCCTAACATGTCAGATAAAAAAAATACTGCGCCACTCCATCAGCTTCTACAGAAAGACATGATAGAATGACAATGACTGTAAATTATTGTAAGTGTAAGTTAGGGTTATGTTTAATGCTCCTATGAAAACTATTTGGTTATTTTTAATAGGCGGGACATCCAGTCAGAGATGAGGTAAAAGAAGAAGGCGGTGACGATGGATGAGACATACTCTCAGGAAGTCAGGCAACTGCATAACAAAGAAAGTGTTGGATTGGAACCCACATGGCAAGAGGTCAAGGGGAAGACCGCGTGGAACCTGGAGAAGAATCACAGAAATCGATGTACAGAAAAGTGGGAAGACATGGAATAACATCAAGAGGCTAGCCCAGGATAGAGAAAGGTGGTAAGTGTTTGTCCGTGGCCTATACCGTGGTGCAGGGTGAGAAAGTGTTTGTCCGTGGCCTATACCGTGGTGCAGGGTGAGAAAGGCAACGATGATGATGACTTCCGAATTTAACGTTGCCATGCAGGTGTTAAGCGAAATGAAAAAGCCGACAGATTGGCTGGTGAGGCCACTTCAGTTGACAATACGGTTCAACCAGAAAGGGTCGAGATCCTGAAATGTCTCTCTCGCCAGCTGATTGAGGAGAAAGATAGGGAGGCAGAGGCCAGTACTGCCGTAGAGAGGATGATGCTTTTGGGAATATAAAAAGGAAGCGGAAAATCTGGCATTCTTGCAGGAAAGAACAGAAGAACGTTCAACCAGACGTGCACTGGCACAATCAGTGGAAAGACCCTCAGCGACAGTTTGGAGAGAGCAACGGAGCATCAATGGACATGTCCAGAGTGCAGGGATGTTGCTTCCTGAAACAATGAACAATGAACAATTTAACGTCCGTCTCCGACAGGACCGAGCCAAATGGGTTGGGAGTCTTGAAAACTCCACAAAACAACCCCAATTCAAAGAACACCCAGTCTGGGATTCGAACTAGGGCCATTCCCTAGATCTACTGATATTTTCATAAAGGAAGGTTGGCAGATGAGAAAGTTTCTTTCTTTTTTTTTCTTTTTTTTTTGGTAAGTGTATTATGGCGCTGACAATAACTGTGCAAGGCTATAAAACTCATAATATGAGCGCGCGGGACACATTAAACATTTTCAGGTGGTAGGAAATTTTGAATTTTGCACAGGTGGTGGCCGAAGCCTACTCTTATCGATGAGCCCCCCTATCAACACAATAAGGTTTTATTTAAGTGGCTGGACCTCCCTTTTCTTTTAAAACGTCCATCTACGAAAAGACCAGGTGAAATAGCCTACATTCATGTTAAGAGCCTTTCCCCAAAACTCAATGTCGAACCATTACGGGTGTGGCAGCCTAACCACTAGGCTACCGACGCCACCCAAAACATCTCCAAAGAGCCCTTTGCATCGAAATACATGTAGTAAAACAGACAGACAGAAATAACAAGAGGGAAAGTGTAAAAGAAGTAGGACATGCCAATGGCACCTTCTAACCTACTCTACTCTAAGAACTAGCAAACAAGCCGTAACTAACAACACTCACATTAAGAAATCTTCAGTCCCCTTGTCCTTGACCTCTAACGTCTCTGTCATCGGGTATCAGTAGTCCCATGAAACAAAAGTTTGACAAGTTTCCCCTTTGCGTTGTAAAGTTTTTCTCCAGTCGCTTGCTCTTCTGTGACTCTGAGGGCTGCTGTCCTTTGCGAACCTTACACGGCAAACTTCACGATTCACATACGTAAAGGTTTTTCTTACAACGCATGTGATCTTCTGCAACTTTCTTCTATTTACAATCTTGAATTTCACGCAAAAAAATAGTCGCATAATGACAGGTCGAATAAATGATAATAATAATGATGAAAATAACAATAATGAAAATAATAACGATAATGATAATAATGACGATAATGATAATGATAATAATAATCATCATCATAATCATCATCATAATAATAATAATAATAATAATAATAACACGTTGTCCCTTACGAACCCAGCACCACAAACTTCATAATATTATGCGTAAAGCTTTTTCTTACTAACTACACGCCACAAGTAATCTTCTGCCACTTTCTAAGATCTTGAAATTCACACTAGAAACTAGACAGATTTTCTCCTGCATACAATTGTCCATGGTCAAACAGGCTGCCACTGACTGCATAAACTTAAAACTTACACCGCAGACATCTCAGACGAACCGTTTTGCACTCCACTGTCTTTCGTGTGGCTTAGTGTTCCTATTACGTACACCGGAACCACAAACTTCATTTTTATTTTTAAAAATTCCCGAATGTGTGTTCTTTTGTGAAATTTTAGCTGAGTACTGTTTGCAAACCCTGCGCCACAAACTTCACACTTGTTGTAAGGCTTTTCTATAGCGTGTATTCTTTGGTGAGCCTTTAGACTAGCCGTTTGTGAGAACCCAAGTCCACAGATTTCACATTTGTAAGGCTTTTCTCCAGAGTGTATTCTTTGGTGAGCCTTTAGACTAGTCGTTTGTGAGAACCCAAGTCCACAGATTTCACATTTGTAAGGCTTTTCTCCAGTGTGTGTTCTTCGGTGTACCTTCAAAATACCCGAGTGAGAGAACAAAAGTCCACACATCTCACACTTGTAAGGCTTTTCTCCAGTGTGTGTTCTTTGATGAGCCTTTAGACCACCCGTCTGTGAGAACCCAAGTCCACACATTTCACACTTGTAAGGTTTTTCTCCTGTGTGTGTTCTTCGGTGTACCTTCAGAATACCCGAGTGAGAGAACAAAAGTCCACACATCTCACACTTGTAAGGCTTTTCTCCTGTGTGCGTTCTTTTGTGTCGCTTCAGGGTGTTCACATTTGCAAACCTTACGCCACATTCATCACACTTGTAAGGCTTTTCTCCAGTGTGTATTCTTCTGTGAATCTGCAGATTGCTCTTTCGCGAGAACGTAGTTTCACAGATGTCACACTTGTGACGTTTTTCTCCATCGTGTGTGCTTTTGTGTTGCTTCAGGTTGTCACCATTTGCAAATCCTGCACCGCAAACGTCACACTTGCAGGGCTTCACTCCAGCGTGTATTCCTCGGTGAGTCTTTAGCTGACTACTGTTCACAAAGCCTGCACCACAAACTTCACACCTGTAAGGTTTATCTCCAGAGTGTGTCTTTTTGTGAATCTTTACACTACTCACATGCAAGAACTCAATTCCACAGATTTCACACTTGTACGGGTTTTCCCCTGTCCCTACAATATGTGTTCTTTTATGGTTCTCAAGAGTACCCATTCGCGAGAACACTCTTCCACAGATTTCACACTCGTAACTCTTTTTTCCTGTGTGTGATTTTTCATGACTTTTTAAATTGCTACTCTGTGCAAACCGTTCATCACAAACTTCACATTTGTAGGGCTTTTCTCCCGTGTGTATTCTTTTGTGAATCTTTAGCACGCTTCTGTATGCAAATAATAGACCACAAACTTCACACTTGTAAGGCTTTTCTCCCGTGTGTTTAATTTGGTGTCGTTTCAAGTTCCTACGAATGGCAAACCCTGAACCACAAATTTCACATTTGTGAGGCTTTTCTCCGGTGTGTACTTTTTTATGATTCGTCAGGTTGCCACTGTGGGCAAACCCTAAACCGCAGACTTCACATATGTAAGGCTTTTCTCCAGTATGTGTTCTTTTGTGTTGTTTCAGGCCGTAACTACTCGCAAACGATGAACCACAAACGTCGCACTTGTAAGGTTTTTCTCCAGTGTGGGTTCTTTGGTGTCGTTTCAGGGCGCTACCATTCCCAAACCTTAAACCACAAACCTCACACTTGTAAGGCTTTTCTCCTGTGTGTGTTCTTTTGTGAATCTTTAACTGGACATTCTGTGAAAACCCTGAACCACAAACTTCACACTTGTAAGGCTTTTGCCCAGTGTGTGTTCTCTTGTGTCGTTTCAGGTGGCTGCTGTTCACAAACCCTGAACCACAAACTTCACATTTGTAAGGTTTTTCTCCTGTGTGTGTTCCTTCGTGACAATTTAGCTGGCCTCTATTTCCAAACCGTGAACCACAAACTTCATATTTGTAAGGTTTTTCTCCTGTGTGTGTTCTTTTGTGAGAATTTAGCTGGCTTCTATTTCCAAACCGTAAACCACAAACTTCACATTTGTAAGGTTTTTCTCCAGCTCTAGTTCTTCTACCAGTCACAAACTTGAGTCCAACAGGTGGAGTGGCGCTGTCTTGGCCAGTGTGAGTCTCTGTGTGCAGCTGAGGTGCTGTAACACTAGAAGAGGGAGCGCAAGAAAGGTCCATAGAATTAGTATTGGCCATCAATTTCATCGTCATCTTTATCGGGGTAGTACAATCTTTTGGTATTTGGCCACAGCTATCATTTACTGCACTTTTGCTGCATATTTCCTTATCATACTCTCTTCTGAGATGGAGATCAAAGACTTTCTTGTCTGGGTCATGAAAAAAAGAAGATGTGGTTTCTTCCAAGACACAGTCAACTTCTATTTGATCAATCATTTGACCTGTCCCAAAAGTATCCTCCCCCATAAGGTATGGCTGTGTCGCTGGGTGTGTGGAGGGTGCGCGCTTGTCTGGAATCCCATCTGAAAAAAGACACAAAAAATACGCACGTTATCTACCTTTCCTTGTTTTTACATGTAGGTTTTTATTCATCATCATCATCATCATCATCATCACTGGCAATTAGAATGGAGTTATTTGGACGAGTGAAGGTGCCGCTAAGCATATTGACAATGGAGCCGAAAAAGAGCCTCTCCCTCGCTCCAAGATTTCTCCGTGGAAATTAAGGAAACAAAAAATCATCATCATCATTATCATCATCATCATCATCATCATCATCATCATCAATGCCTTTCTCACCCTGCATCACGGTATACATTGGACGAACAAACACGTACCACCTTTCCCTATTCTGGGTTGTTCTCTAGATCTAGATATTACAGTACAGTGGTCTCCGCCTAATAAATATCCCGGTGACCCGTCCTGTATCCCATAATCGGTAAATCAATGGTCTCCCTTTTAAACCGACGTGACCCTTGGAAGGGTTTATAGACTTTTGGAGAGAGAGGTTAACATTAATGACCAATCACAATGGCACAAACGCATGCCTTTTTTTCCTTTTCCAATCGTGATTATCAAGTTTAATGTGAACCCAAGAGCCCC